CTTTCCTGCCTATGCAGGGGGTCAGACTCGATGATCTATTGAGGTCCCTTCTGACCCTAACATCTATGAATCTATGAATCTGTTTTTTAATCTAATGACTGTCTAATGTAAAATGCATAAAATACCCTGGCAGTAGGGGGCCAGAATCCAGCACTTCCCCCTTCTTTCTTGGCCGCAGAATGGTACTCCCTCTTTCTTGCTCGCCTTTTCACCTTGTGAATCTCTTACTCAGCTGCCCAGTGGGCAAGTTTCAACAGAAGGAGGGAGGGGGGCTCCATCCAGCTTAGCCCAACACATAACCTGGTGTTTAGGACACTCTTCTAAGCAATGGGAGATGTGGGTTTGATTCCCTCCAAAGTGGGGAGCTTGGAAGCCAAATGTCCCACTTCTAGAGCAAGTGCACCTATTGGCAAAGGGTGGGTTCCCCTATATGACCTGGATGCTGACATGATGGAAGCACCACCCTTGAAGCCCTTGGTCAGCTATCTAAGGGGATGGAGTAGGAGTTTAGACCCACTCCTCTCCTTAGCATTCCTATTGGCTAGTGGTAGGCATTCTGGTAGTGAGTGGGCAGTATGGATGACACTTGGGTCTCTCCATGCATTACAATGGAAGCCAGAGCACCTAATCTTGTCAATTAGGTCACCCACCCAGGCAAGGCACCCAGATTTTAGTCATTGCAAAGAGGTACCTTATAGGTCAATTAGGATGTAGCCTCTGCCCGCTCAGATGCTAGGACTATGCACATGTGCAGAAACTTAGCTTTAGTCATCTAGGACAGTGTTTTTCAACCGGTGGGACGCGAAGGTCATGTAGGTAGGACTTCAACTCATTGCCCGATTGAAAAAATCAAAGTTGTTTGCAGTTCAAATAGATGAACCAACAGATATCTCGAACAGTGCAATTTTGACAGGAGTTGTTCGATATGTCAATGAAGAGAAAGTGCTTGAGGTTGTTTTTATGGTTCACACAAAGAACAGGTTCAGAGATATTCCGCGTTATTGATGAGTATTTTTTAAAGAACAGCCTAGATTGGAAATGCATTGTTAGTCTTTGTACTGATGGCGCTGCTGCAATGACAGGTGTGCATGCCAGGGTCACTGCAAGAATTCACAAAGTTGCAAATGCTGATTTGCAAGTTACACACTGTATGATCCATTGTGAAATGCTCACAAGCAAAGAAATGGTCCCTAAACTGTCTGATGTGTTGTCTGATTGCATAAAAGTAGTAAATCTTATTAAAGCCAATGCACCGAAGAGCCAAATCTTCAAAGTACTTTGCTGCAAACCTTTTGCTGCATACCGAAATGAGATGGTTGTTGCGTGGCAAAGCGTTGTTCTGAGTTTTCGAACTGAGAGGAAATTAAGTATTTCTTGGTTCAAAAGAAATCTAAACTAGCAGTTGTTCGACAATACTGATTGGATTTCAAAATTGGTATACATGGCAGACATATTTGGGCTCCTAAATGAACTGAATTTGCATGAATCGACATGCTTGCCAATGAAACACAACCACAGGTTTCTCACTAATGACTAAATTATTATCTCATTTCTGCTAATAGTTTTATTATTTTTTACAATTATAACAATAAAATATTCTCAACAAAATTATTGCAATTTTTAATTTTGAATGTCCTTAAAAATTCTATCAATGATTAATATAATATTAAAATGCATGTAAACGTAAAAATACAGTTCTTGGGAAAAATGGGGTTTTGTTTTTATCATGGTGGGACCAAGGTTTTTTGACGAAATGGTTGGTGGGACATAAGGTGCAAAAGGTTGAGGACCACTGATCTAGGAAGCTTTGCAGTCTAAAACAGGGCTGTCCAGCTGGTAGCTGGTGGCCTGTGGGCCACATGGATATTGGAGGAGCAGGCCCTCTCATGTTTTAACTCCAGTGTCTGAGTGATTAGGACACACCCTAGAAATATGGAAACCCAGGTTCTAGACTCTTGTTGCCTAGAGGTTTAAACCTGTACCTTCTTGACTTTGCCACTTACATGGTTAGAAAGCTGCCATCTAAGGAAACAGAATTCCACCCATTGGTACCTAGCTTTCCAGTCTGGTCTGACCCAAGATCATTTCCCTACTTCCCTTCAACATTTCCCTTTCTGTGGCTCCACAGATCCTACTAGTTTTGTTAGCCACAACACTGGACTCTTGAGTTCATGCTGAGACACTTACCTATTGTGACCCCAAGTCTTTTTCTGGGCTTTCGCTTTCCAAGCCCATCTCATCCTGGAGCCATAGTCCATGCTGTTTATTCCCAGCTATATTGCCTTGCATTTGGCTCTATTAAACTACATGTTGTTGGACTGGGACCATTTAGCTGAATGATTTAAATTTTAAATCACTTTGTAACAGTGACCTGTCCACCACAGTATTTACTGTCTCACTATTTTTTTCCGCCTGCTGCAGACTGTATTAGCAAAGATTTTATAGTCAAGGTGGATAAAAATAAATAATTTAACAAACAAATAGATTTTATTTACAATGTTTTATTGAAAGTACAATATGTTTCTTTGTAAAAAGACACTTATTTAAAATAAGATTTGAAATTATGGCAACCTAATTAAGTTATAAATACTGTAATCTATTAAAATAATTTAAATGACATTAAAAAAAGAGCAGTACATGTTTGCTTCTGAAGTTTTAAAGGATAGTCAGACCACTGAACTGGTAGAAATCATTGGCTAAAGTAGAGGACGCCAGTTTGTTGAAGGATTTTCGAGAGGAGTAGCACTTTTTGCAAGTTCAGAGAAGGATTGTTTTCCTTTTTATATTTTATTCAAATGTTTTGAGTTTAGTGTTTGCTTGTTTTCCTGTCCCAGCCTCTGAATAAAACCAAGGTATGGGAGAGGATCACAGCAAGACACTGAAACCAGAAAATGGCAGCTCGGTTCACTAACCCCAACTAATGCTTCCTTTAATGTATTATTTTTAAATGCAATTTCTCATGTATCTAGCAGAATTAGCATAGTTTTCATTGAACTATAAAAAAAAATTTAAAAATGCTGGTTTTGTACATTTTTAATGGAATTCCTATGTAAGTAGAGCATGACACATCACAAATAAAATTAGTTTAATTAAAAATGCATTAACTTTCATTTTTTTGCATAATGTAACACTTAAGCATCTGAATAAATGTACAATAAGCTATAAAAATAAATTAAGTAAATGTGAATAGATATAATGGATGGTTCTAATTAGCAACAGGTACTAAATTAGGTAAAGGCTATATTTAGTTGCAAATCAACATGTTTTAATGGTGACCAACCAATGAGAATGAACCTTCCTTTAGGAAACTAACTATAACGCCCAACGCAAAACAAAATTAAGATCAACAACATACATCAATGTTTTCTACTTTCTGATTTGAATCATGATTGATATCAGTGATATAAGTCACTTTGATTTAAAGGAATCCACAATGTTTATATTATCATCTACATTTTTATAAAGATACTGAACAGCATTGGACAAAGAAACAGCCTTGGAGATCTTGCTAGTAATGTCCTGTTTCTCCCTTAACAACTGCATTTGAAATTTGTCACTGAGCTGGTTTTGAATCTATTTAGTATGCCTTGCTAATTCCATGTAATGAAAGTTTTTAATCTAGATGTCAATAAGTGCTTTGACACATCCCTTGGAGAAATCCAGGTCTGCTGCATCAATACAGTTATGCTTTACCAACCGGTCCTGTAATCTTTTCAAAAAAGTCAATGGGTTGGTTAGACAAGACCAGCTTTCCATTAAACAGAGTAGATTGGAATTAATTATAGTTCTCTGTTAATAGAGTCCAAAATAAACCATTCCATGATTTTTGCTAGAATTGATGTGAAGTTAACACCTGCACTTCCCTTCTGCAGTTCTTAAATATCAGGGTTATATTGGCAATCCTCAAATACTTTGGAATTTTTCTAGTTTTTCAAAATTTTTTAAAATCCTGACGTGACTGAGAGAGCTCCTTTAAATTATTTTGGCCTGTTGATTTGAAAATGTTGAATTTTAGCAGGTACTACCAAACAATACATTTTGTGTTTCCTAACATATGTGCTGGATACATCTCTCTGCAGAACAGAAATACCTTTTCAGTGCTTCTGTCCTCTCGGCATCACCGCCTATAATATTATTGTCTGTATTGAGGAGTGGACCAATGCCTGACCTAAAGTTCTTTTTGTTCCAACTGTTTTTAAAAAATATCTTCTCAAGCGACCTGCGTGTGTACTGTCAGAACCCATTAATTAGATGCCTATAGCACAGAGGAGAATTGGTATAGCCCAGAGGAGAATTGGTATAGCCCAGAGAAAAATTCCATGGGTTCGATACATATGGCATAGTTTTGCTGTCAATCATTCTGGTGGCAGTAACTAGGTCATGGAGGAAAATTCCGCTATGCCTGAACCCAGTAACCAAATGCTACAGTAGTGCAAGTTGGAGAACTCCACACACACCTCGTGGAGAACTCTGAGTACACTGTGGAGCCTAGCAAACTCCACGCGTTTCAGAGCGAACTTAGTGGCCTGATCAACCACTAAGGACTCCCCGTCACCGACCCAAGGGGGCCTAGCACACCCCCACCCGAGACGTAAGACGACTGCCGGCTTGAACACCCCGAACACCCCGAACACATTTGCAGACCGACCAAACCAACTTTGTAATTTCTGCCCGACCCAAGTTTGTTTACAACCGTAATCGAAGCAAGCTTCTGGCCTGCACTGTACGAGCAGTGTAAGTAAACAATCTTTTGTTCAATCAAAATGCTTGAATACCTGATTCCACTCCAAGCGTCACAAGTACCCGCCCGCCGACTAGGGCTCCTAAGGCCCCGAACCCCACGCCGCGGCTCTCGGCAGCGACATGTACCAGTTCTGGGACTTTGCATTTTCAGTACCATTGACAATGTGTGAATAGCAAGAGAGTCTTCCACCATATGAATTTTTGGAGTGTAGCAGCTTTGATCTGGCTCCATTTAGGTGTTCTGGCAGGAGTGTTCAGACCTGCAATGAGGCTTAGCAGACAAATTCTTATGCTTAAGGTTACGAGTAATTTCAATGATCACATATTTTCTATGTGGTTAACTCCTGTCTCTCTGCAGGTCCTAATTGTATGTGGACAGCAACTCTTTGAAACTCAATGGCTACTGCCCAGCTCTCACACACATCACAGAAACATAAAACCTCCAAGGTACAGGATTTGGGACATAATGTTATTAATAGTTGTGTTTTTGGCCTTAGTGCTAAGTCTTGCAGAGCTAGTAACCTGGGTTTGATTACATATCCTAGGCCTCCCTCCCAGGGCAAGCAGTCCGCTCCATGCAGAATGAGAAGAAAGCCTTCTGTCCCTTTCTGCTGATCACACTGTAGCTGTGTTGGGTCTGAAAGCATTTGTCTCCACCTCACTGTAGCCAGGAAAATACAGCATGCATTACACAACATTGGGCTTTGTGGGTCAATTAGCACCTACATACTAAGTAACAGGTGCTTGGCAAAGAAGATGGAGACTTCTTGGCCATGCACAGAGCCCCATTTGAGGAAGGAGAAAGAGTGAACTGGTCGAGACTCAATTTTAATAAATCTTTTTCCAAGATTTTAAAACTATGTGATATTTAGTTTCATAAGAAACTTAGTTGTTAATGGGGAAAAGTATGTCAGTGCTTACTTCCCACTCCTTACTTACTTCTCACACCTCTTTGTCGTGTTTTTTTTGCATTGGTTTGCACTTAGATGTCCATAAGGGGCATGCTTCCACAGCTGCATACCTGGCTGGCTGGTACATAGCCTATTGCAAATTCTTGGTCTTCACATGTATGTCTATAATGTAGGTGTAATAGAGTCACAAAAGTGCCAAAAATGCCATGTAAACAGCTGAAAAGTGGCCATTTAGGCACAAACGGGTAACAGGATTCCACCCTTAGTCTTAAGGTAAAGACCTTAAGGTTTTTAGGGATTAAAACAGTGTGGAAAAAGATCATGTTTTAGATTCCTAAATACCATTTAGATGTCTAATAGGTGGAATAGGATCTGCTCCCTTGCATTAGGTTCTCTTTTGGCCCGCACATTCTTATGGTGTATCAGAGTCACAGATACTCTTTGAAGACCAGAAGAAATAGGAAAGTAACCTCGATCTGACCTCCTTCGAACCCTGCTGAGACTTATCTCTATTTTTGGCCCTGGCACTGAGCTAAAACTAATAATATCTTTGTCTTTGCCCTATTTTCAGGAAGCAGTGTTGTTTCCACACACAGTTACCACTGAACAGCAGTCCATGGTTCTGGTGAAAAGGCTTCTGGCCATCTCTGTTTCCTGTATAACATACCTGAGAGGGCTGTTCCCAGAGAGCTCATATGGAACTTGCTATTTAGATGGTAATCTTGGAGTATGTGCTGAATTCACGTGTCTAATCATTATTGTTGTTACTTACAGATTAGCCCCATGCTCTTCACATGTATAACAAATTCAGTCTTTTGTAGGAAGATTGTTGACTATAGGCCTTATCCAGCAGTCCTAATTCAGACAATCCCCTGTGGCAGTGAGATAGTACAAAAGACAGTCTAGAGCTGTTGGCAACTAACAACCATTTCTATCAGTATTTCCTTTGCTTTAGAATTACATTTATTACTTGGCACTTTCCTGAGTTGCCAATGCCAAGTGTTCCAAAACTGAGTGAGTCCCAAAAGTCCATGAAATTGGCTTAAAAAAATCAGTAGATTTAAATAACAGTAATCATTTTTTATATTTGACTTTTATGAGCCACTTTGGTTCACATTTTTCAAGCTTTTCTTTGTAATCAAGAGGCTAAAAAGTATTTTTAAAATGAAAACAGATTTACATGCAAACTCATGACTGGGAGCTATGGCTTTAAAGAAGACACAAGATTTCCAGAGTCTTGTGATAGGATAACAAGAGCTGGAAACATTCAGCTACAACTTTATATTTATATAAGATATGTAAGTGGGAGAAAGGAAGTGAGTCCATACATAAACCCACTTAACATACCATATTATCTTGCAAACCACACTCCCCTAAATAAAACATTCATCTTGTTTTTGAAAGGTAGCATGAATAAAAAAGATCTTTCCTTGAGAGCCTCTGCTGGGGTTGGGGGTGGGGAAATAAAGTGTCCATAAGCCAGTATCTATGGAGCTTTGCATGCAAGACTTATAGCTTTACTTTTGCTCTCTCCTGCCGAGGCTTAAGTGGCAGAAACTGCTGTTACTATATTTCCTCAATTATGAGCACCCCAATTTCAAGCAACTGAATTTTGGAAAAATATGTGTATTATATATGAAAAATATAATATTTATCATCCTTACTTTATACTTGAAATAAGGTACTATATCTTCATATTCCCAAAGAGCTCACATTTAGTAATCTAGTCACTCATTCAATATGAGTTGCTGAGGAAGAGACAGGAAATCTCAGATAGCCCCGTTGATCTTTCCATTAGATACTGCTGAAAGGCCATCAGTTTTGTCATCAGATTCAGATCTTTCAAATGCCTTTTTGAACAAAAGTCTTGACATTTGGCCTATTCATTCCTTTAAGGTATTGTGGGTACTTATACACATGACGAAAATTGCCCATTTTTGTGGTTTAATTGCATCATACTTTACTTGTATAGGGTTTTTTTAGAATTTAAATGAGCTTGTTACATTGCAAACTAAACTACATCCCCATGTAGTTTGGTTTGTGATGTAGATGCTTGTAATGTTGCAGGCTTTAATCTGACCGCTCTCCCCCTGGCTGCAGGAGAGGCGGGCTGAAGGCAGAAGCGGCAAGGGTCCTGATCCTTTTCCTTTTTTTTTTTTTTCGGAGCCTGCCCTCCCTCCCATGGCTGGGGGTGAGCTGCCGGCAGGCTGAGCAGCCCCTGAGGCACGGAGGGCCCCAGTCCTTCCCTCTGTGGTGGCGGCGCCACCTGGGGCTGCCCAGGTAGGCAGCTAGTGGGCTGGGGGTTGCCCTAGCTCATAGGCAGCACCCATTGGATCCAACTCTTCCCCAAGACTACCAGGGCTTCCAGGTGGCATTGTCCCCACTGCCTTCCCACCACCTAGGACTGCCTGGGAACAGGCTGGCTTGCCCCTGGGGCAGTGCAGGGAAGCAGCAGGAGGGCAGCTGGGTGTGCTGGTCGCTGGAGAAGGCAGCAGGGACAGTGCATGGCACGCTGGAAGGCTGCTAAGCCCAAGCTCCTCCAGGCCTGCCCAGTCTTCCAGCGCACCGTGCACCATCCCCGCTGTCTTTTCTGACTGCCAGCACACCCAGCCTTCCTCCTACCACTTCTCCGCACTGCCCCAGGGGCAAGCCAGCCCATTCCCGGGCAGTCCCAGAAGGCAGGAAAGCAGCAGGGACAGTACACGGGCTTGGGGAAGAATTAGGTTCAGCCAGGTGCTGACTTCAAGCTGGGGCAGCATCTAGCCTGCTAGCAGCCCATCTAGGAAGCCCCAGGGGGTAGAGGGAAGGACTGGGGCTCCCCACAGCTCAGGGGCCACTCAACCCACCAGCAGCTCCTCTTCTGGCTGCGGGAGAGGCGGACAGGCTTTGTGAAAAAAAAAGATCAGGTCCCTTGCCATAACAGTGATGGAAGCCCCTAAATTGAAATGCTGAGTTTTTAATCGTCACAATTAAAATGCACCATTTCAATTTAGGGGACTAAAGCCCCATCATGTGTACAAGCACCCATAGTTCTAAACCTTTTTGCACTCAAGGCACCCCTCATTAGACTCAAGGCACTGCTCAGAAAATGCCAGCTCCTAGTTTTCCCTTGTTTTTTTGACTACAGAAAAATAATAAAGTAATTCTTCTATTGCAAAATGCTCAGGAAGCCCACAGCAGGTCAGAATATTTTAACACTATGAATGTTTATTTGCAATCTCTAGGTTTGTCTTGTGAAACACGTTTGCATACCTAACAGTTCTAACATTGTCCAGAATCTCATGGCACCCTTGAAAGGATCTCAAAGCACCCCAGGGTGCTACACCACTCTACTTGAGAATTACTGATTTAAGGGCTGCAGGATTGGGCCCCAAGGTATTAATTAATTCTTCTTCCTACTTGGCCTGTCAGTGTGGAGTTTTCAATTCAGAAAAACACATTCTACTTGTTGCTCCCAGATTCTGCAAATGGAGGACCGGAGATCTATGGAGCACAGTGGGAAAGTTTAACAGCTTTATCTAATTCAGTACACAATTGTTTAGCTTACATGTGTGTTGGTGAACAACAAAATCCAGAAGTGACAGTGCTGTTGGGAAGTACCAGAGTAAGAAAGTATTCGGCAAGGGACTAGTAGGAAAAGAAAATAAATTGCTAACATTTCTAAATGAAGCCATTGCTCCGGTATATTTTTCTGTGAGAGTCTAGAGTATCTTGAGAAAATGCCTTTGGTATTTTAAAAGTCAAGTGTAAGTGTGTGTCAGCCCACCTGGGACTCAATGAAAAACAGCAGTTCAGCTCAGGAAGTGCCCAGATAAAACACTTTGTATAAAAAGGGAGGATGATTGGTTTAGTTACTCTGTTTGCCCAACACTGATAAGCTTTTTAACTGTGCTAACTCTGGTTTTGCAGACCTCTGTCTGAAAATCCTTCGAGAAGATAAAAGCTGTATGGGATCACTGCAGATAGTCAAGTGGTGAGTGAGTAACAATGAAACTAAGACAAGATTATGCAGAATTGCAAGATTTCGTCCTCTCATGCGCCCCTGCTTCCTACATCTGAAACCTTCTGCCCCAGTGGTAGAACTGGCTATGCCAGTGCCCATTGACTTATTATAAATGTTTTATGTATGCTTGATGTAAGCAATATGTTCTCCTAAGAACTTACAGTCTGAAGGCCTGGTCCTCTCTCACTGAAGGCATTGACGTTAATGAGAGCAGGATCAAGTCCTGAAGTACGGGTGCCTATGGGCAAGCAGTTAAGACCAGGATAAAGCTCAGCATAAATAAGATTGTGATATTTTTTTCCTCAGAATGTATATTTGCCAGATCCCATTTGTATAGTTCCTTTGATGCCTGTACAGTATTTCTCTCCTATGGAAGTTGTACCTAGGTACCTGGGGATAGAACGGTTTAGTTCTTAAATCTATCCAGGGATAAGAAATGCACTTCAGAACCATGGCACGACTCCTAAGCAGCAGGGAGCTGTTACATAGAACTTAGCCCTTCAAAAGTTCAGTTCTTTGTCCGTTTAGCATCAAGGTCTATATTAGAGCTATTTGCAGTTCCTGGGGCCAGTTCTGCACTGGTTCCAGTGTAGTTTAGAGCAGCCATAAGGAGTCAGCCTACCATCTTAAAATAAGGAGTATAGCACCACTTCAACCACGTCCTTTGCTTTATTGGCTATATCAAGGGAATATCCAGCAGGCTGAATCCATTGGTGCAAAGGGCCAAAACAGGGCCAAAGATTTGGCCATTACTACCTGATGTAAATGCTGGCCTGATAATGGGAACCAGAACCTTGGCATATAAACTATGATCACACACCTAGAGGGACAGAGAGATGCTTGATTACCATGAAAAGAGTACCATTACAAGACAAAAATGTTAGCAGCTCTGTACTGCTTCATTCTTGACATATACTCCATCTACTCCATCTCCTGCTCCTAGACTGATGTGACTTGGTACCAACTAACATTTTTTCCTGGCAGGATTCAAGGTTGTTTTGATGCCCTAGAAAAGAACTATGTAAGTTTTTATTTAATGTTTTTAATACAGTGTTGGTTTTTTTCATAAACTGTGGGCAAAACTGTTTTCTGATCTGCTGTGTTCATTCCTGGGTATTTATTTCAGATGTGTATTCTGCTGTGATCTCAATGAAGAAGCTCATACAGTACAAGTATACAGTAGAGCTCTGATCTGTGAGAAAGCGATGTGACTGTTTCTGGCTCCCTCTGCTCCAGAATTAATTATTATTAATGTCCAGACCTGTTTGTTAAAAATGGTTAGTTTGCACTTTGGGAGGTTCCCTTCAGAGTTCTGAATTTTTCATTCTTTAATGTGTGGATACAAGTTCTGTCAGAGCAAATATTTCTTGCGCTTTTTTCCATGTGCCAAGTTCTTAAATGCTTCCGCTTTCCTTCTTCCTCTTCTTCTCTTGCTTGCCTTCCTTTCTCTTGTTCTTCCACCATCTCTAGCTTTCTCAGTTCTCCCTCTTGAGTTTGGATTTTCTTCTTTTTCTGTATTTTAAGGCTTATTTAACCAGTTTCAGAACCACTGCAAACTGTCAAGTGATCCAAGTGATCCAAGCTCTTACGTATTGTAACACAAAAGCTGACCTCCATATACAATGTGCATCAGCTCTTATTTATATCAGTACTATTCATCAGGTTGACTTTCATCTACTTCAGAATAATTCTCATCGGTATCAGATGAACTGTTCATCAGCAGGGCTGTTGAGATTATTGCTTGTTAATGGCAATGCTATTGACATTGGCATCATTTGAAATACTGTGAACTCTAGCTCTAGCTAACTGACAATTCTAGTAGTCGTCTTTAAAGAGATTATGGTCAAGGTCAAAGGTCTTTCTGACCTTAGCAGTCCGTAGAGCTAGTGTGGTAAAGGATCAGCACTCTCTGCAATCAACAGTACACCAGGGCATAGCGTGGCCAGTGTCACATCATTGACTAAACTTAAATCAGCATCTGGATCAATTGGGAGCATCTTTGGCACAAGTCTCGAGCCAAGGCTCAAACATTATGTCTGGAGCTATAGGAAGATGCCTTAACAGCTTAGCCACTGAACCCTACATGTAGATGAAGGAGTGTCCATTATTGATAAGAGCTACTCCTCATACTCCAGATCATATAGGAATCAATATTGATGAGAGTTAGGGAAAAAATCTTCCCTTTGAGCAAGTATTCCATAATTGTCCATTGTGGAATTTCTTCTGAAGCACCTGGGGCTCATCAGCATCAGAAAGAAGATCCTGAGCTGGATAGATCCAGGAAAGTGTTTTCTTTGCTTTACTAAAAAAGTGGGCTAGCGCATTGTCTAGCCAAAACTTCCAAATGGCTTTCAAGTGCAGCCCCAAGTGGAGTCCCTTGCTGGAGTGCAGTCTGCAGGTATAGATGGCTACAAGGAGGTTCATGTCTGAGGGCAAAGGCTGAAACCTCCTAGCTAAATGGAAGGGGAGGGAAAGCCTCAGAATGAGGTTCACAGTGTAAAAAAGAATCTGATATTGGACTTGAATGAAACTGGTGTAAACTTAGCCTGGTGGCTTTGTTCAGAGGGAACACTGGGAACCAAGTCTGAATATGCAGACATTTTATAGGCAGACAAGGTTAGTTGCTTTGGAAGATGTGCACTAAATGAACTGGCCACTGGGTGTCACTGATGTTACATCAAGATATATCTGAACTGGCAAGGATCTGTATGAAATATTGACTGGCAAACTGTGGAACGCATGTATTTTTTTCATTTCAGTAGATTTTGACAAGACTCTTATTTTCTCTTCCAGTTGCATATGGCTGTCCTGGCAGTAAGTCATCTATTAAGTCAATATAAAATGTTTTCCTACCTCCTTTTTCCCCCTGCCGCAGTTTGGTTGAGGTGTCAAACCAAGACTCCATATGACATCTGACTGTTAGTAGGGGGGATTAAAGTATTTAAGGAAGCAGTGTGAAGCAAAAGCTTCATTTAATAGGATGAACACTATCTTAGGCTGCATGAGAAGGCTGGCTGAGTACATAAGGGCTTACAGCTTTTGTTTCCATTTCTGATGCACAAAATGCAGCTTTATGTTACTAGACACTAAATGAAAGTGCTGCCATATGCTTTATATCATGACAGCCTCCTGGGCTTCAGCCATCACTCAAACCAGAAACACGCTACTGCCCCTCTCCCTTTCCTTGTTCCATAGGTCTCTCTTCAGTTGCCTATTTGTTACCACTGGCAAGACAAACTTTTGTCACAAACTCTGTAGCCCTTAGGTTTCTAGCAAATTGTTATTGAGGCCTTCCGTATTTCTGAGATCGTACACCAGCAGCTGTACTGCCAGTTTTGGACACATTCCTTTGAAAAGACACTGCAGGTGTTCTAGACTCTAGGGTCCTTCCCCATTGTACATGGTGCCCATTTTCTTCCTTGCCCTGCAGCAGCTTGCATTTCCTCAAGAAGGCTACAGCATGGATACAGCTTTGCTTAGATCCAATATGCAGACTTGACTGTCTATGTAGCTAAAGCACAATAAGGGTTAATTTATTTTATTACTTTTCACTGCTATATTTTAATAAAGAGAAAGATGCATTCTGTCTGCTTTCTCAACAGATTTACACTAATCCCAAGGAAACAGAGGTAAGGAAATGTCTTACAATCTGTTCTGAGCAGGACATGATTGCATGGGTGAGTTGTACTGAGTTCAAAATGGACTTCTAAGGTTAAATCCAGCCTTGACTTGACAGGGCTACTTGGTAGGGGGAAGAGACACAAGATGCCAGGTTCCCTGCTCCTTTCAACCATGCAGGCTGGTTCAGAATCTAGGCAGAATAGTGATAAAGTGCTCTCATTGGGCATCTGTCATGGTCCTGTCAATTGTACCAGGTGGTGCTTCTTGGGCCTTAAGAGGGGATGTTAAGAGGAAAAAGGGGTATGATCAGGATCTTGCTCCCCTCTGCAGATGACTAGAAGCAGCAGCTAACAATGATGCACATAACTTCTTAATGCACCACCTTTTCAATGTCATTGTGAAAGGTGAAATTTGTTTATGTGGATGGAGGTTGGGGGAGACTTTTGAGCTACTTCAGGCCTGGGACATAAGTGGTGCGCAAAATGGTGGATGACATACTGCAGCAGGTACCCCTTGAGCCATTTTTCTGCATCTGCCCTGTGCAGACAGATGCCTGTGGAATCTCTGCTTCCCCAGTACAGTTCTGCTGCCCCCATAGAAGAGCAACAATGCAGCTCATACAAGAGCAAGAATTTAGCCCATGGCTAAGACTGCCAAGACTGGTTAAATGTCCAAGCTGCAAGATAAATGTTCAAGTCCCTTTGAATGTTACTTGGAGGTGACACCCAAATTCCTTTTGGTCTCTTTAGTCCAGCTTAGATTTATAAAAATCATAAACATTGAATTGGACCAGGAGGCCTGGATAGATCCTTATTCCTATGTTGAGTTTTCAGTTGTAATTCACGGTAGTTTTCTTCCTCCAAAACCATGTTCAAATCTATTTTCTTTAAATGCATCATAACTAGAGCTAGTTGAAGAATGATTTCTTATATCTCTCAGAAAAGACTGGTGAAATATCAGAAACAGATGTTTTCATTCTGAAATGTCACCACTAAGTTTTATTGGAGCTCAGGTCTCTGATGCTCCCATTCACCACCATAGAAAGGTAGTTAGCCATGTTAGTCCAAAGTTGGGAAAAAGGCAGGGTAGGGCAGTGCCTCTCTGAACCTGTTAGTCTCTAAGGTGCCACCTGCATTCACCTCTCTGCCTGGTAGGACTGTACCTCCCTCACTGTACCATAATCCCCTCCTTTGTAAAATAGGGCATGTGTTATGACACTTATGTGACCATAGTGCATCATATTTAGGCTGACTGTAGCCAACACATAGGAAAATACAGGCTGACTGAAATACAGCTCCCATGAGACGTGGCAGCAGTGCTTCAGACCAGATTTTTTTCTGTTTTAAGTCATTCAGGTTTTCAACCAAAAAATTGGAATATTTGTAAAAACAATTTCATAAAAGTTTGATTGAACTAAAAATTTCCAGTTTTCCACTGACAAACCATAGTGACAGAAAATAGGAGCGTCACTAGTGAGAGTTTTAGTTAAAAAGTCACATGCCTGTCTATAGTAAGGGTTTCTGCTTTTTTTCCCAAAACTACCTTTTGACTCTGGAATTCATTGTTTTTCTTCTTAGCCCCAAACTCAGTTTGTATTTGCTTTTTTAAGAACACTTGATAAAAATCAGTGCACGGTGTTTTTGAGTTCAGACCGGAACCTGGTTAGTAACTTTACCTGCTGGATGGGAATAGGAATGAGAAAGTATAGATATCCCCGTGTTAACTGAATATTTGTTGGGCTTGCTGTGGTGGCATATTCCTGCAAGATCTGTTTTTTCTGCTCCCTTTGTGATCTCTGTAGAGAGTGACTGAGCTGTATCAGTTCAAATTCAAGTACACAAAGGGCAGACCACAGATGGACATCATAAGGTAATTGCCTTGTTTTATATCTGAAACCCTGCCTCAGCAAGAAACATGTTTCATTGAAGCATTTATTAAAGAGGAAACTGACTTTGAAGGTACCACTGTAGGGGTGACATATGTAGATATTGTCTAAGTCATATGGAAAATCAATGGGATTTAGGCTTCTGTGCCACTTAGGCACTTTTGAAAATTGTGGGTGTTTATACACATGCTCCAGGAGTGGGGGGGATGAGCGGGGTGGGAGAGGCACTTTAATTAGAGTAGCTCCGAGAGCCACTTTAATTAAAGCACCTGGAGCATCATATCTATCAGCGTCCCTGCACTGAAAAATGGCAGTGGGGGTGCTTTAACTAAAGGTTGTCAAATAAACTTTAGGTAAAATGCCCCACTTCCATTTTTCAGCATAGGGACGCTGATACACACAATGCTGGAGTCGGCTGGAGCGCTGTAATTACCCTACTCCAGCAGACTCAATTAATTGAGTCTGCTCTGACGCACTGTAATTACAGTGCATTGGAGCAGCCTTGCTACACATGTATAAGCACCCTGTGTTCCTGGACTAGCTTTGCTTCTTAGGAATCAAAAAGAGACCATTCACTTAAAACTGCAAGATGGACTGGCAGTAGTCTCTGTGATGAATCCGCTGTGTGTGTGATTCTCACCCAATCTCCTCATTCATTTAAGGAAAATCATTCAGAAGTTCATCTATCAGGTGAAAGACACTTTTGTTGTAGCTGTTTTTGTTCAGTCAGTCATTTCAGACAAGTGAGTCATGACACTTGTATAATATAGTTTATGGCCCTAGTCACAAGGTTTGTACAACTTAGCTCAAGACTGGTTGTTTTTTTCATGCTATCTGTCACTGTGACTCTGTCACTTCCCTGTTATGTAAAAGCTGCATAAAAGCACTGTTCCTATAGTATGACCAGGCAAGATACATCACTGGGTACATCATGTTTTTTGTTAGGTCTTAGATTTAATGACTATCGGAAATAATTCTGTTGTTCTTTTTGTGTTGGCTACAGCAACAAAATGGCCTCTGTGAATGTGGTATGCAGTGGGGAGATTAAGAAAGCCAGTGTTCTCTTTAACGTAAACTGTACCTCTTAATGCAGAACCTCAAACCCCTTCCCAATGATATTACCCTGACCATGAAACTCTTCTACTATAATGATGGTAAGTAGAAAATAGAATGTGATATAGATAAATTTTTCCTTCCTGTTAATTCCCATGAGCATCATAAAAGAGAGAACAAAGATAAAAAATGTTAGAATTTAGTGATGAGATGCCATGCAAATATAGTGCCATTCCATATGAAAGTCATGGCATGTACCTTTTAATAAAGGGCCCAGCATCCCTATAAGAAGCAGTGTAATGCAGAAGGGACAAATCCTTTCTCTTTATTGTAGTGTGAGGAGCAAAGGTGCTAGGTTAGTTTAATTTAACTCTAGAAAATGAATGTATAAGTGGCATAATTCAAAATTTATTTCTCAGTGCTTCCAGATCAAAGGCACTCAGGACATAGATTTTATGGCCAGAAGGGATCATTATCATCATCTAGTCTGAGTCCATCTATTCTTTTATAACAAACCTAGAGACAGAATTTCTACTATTTCTGTAAGGGATTAACTGGAATATGAGCCTATGACAAATTGCACAACAGGCAGGAAGTTCCCCATGGATCATTAAATCACTGCAAGTTTGCAAGTGAAGGAATTAATTTCTTTGACCCAACTCACAAACTTACTCTATGATCTGAGGTTATACTGGGCTTCTTCTTTCTCAACCAGAATCTTAATTCTGCTGACCTGTTGCTGCCCAGGTATAACTCTGTGATCTCCTTGCCTTTTGTAGTGTTGTTCCAGCCATGGTGGCTAAGGGAACACACAAAAAGCAAAATTTATGTGGTGAAATACTTTTTATTGAACTAACTTTGTGGTTGGGAGAGACATTAGGCAAGCTTATGGGCACAAAATGCCCTTCCTTGCATTCCTAGCTGCTTGTCCACATCTGTTTTCAGATTTGGGGAAAGGCATGTTGTGCCTGAAAGGCTGTCTAACATCTCTCCCAACTACAAAGTTGGTGCAATAAAAGTGATTGCCTCACCTCACAAATCTGGCTTTTCAGGTGGGTTAGATAGATATAATCAAGAGCAGAATATGACGACTGAGTTTATACAAGTATAGCTGGGAGGGATGGGACTACAGAAAGACTAGTGTAGGATTTTCCAGCTGTTTGACCTCCAAAATCTTTATTCATCAGGGGGGAGGGGTATCCTTTGCACTTTACCCCCATTATGAATGTAAACATTTACACAAGCTTAATTGACCTTTACACTTGCAGACAGATGAGATAAACCCTTTCACTGGGATAACTTGCCCAATCCAGTATAGAACTGTCCCTGAAAAAATCAGGGGTAAAACAACATTGGTGTAACTTGCATTGTTGTACAGTTGTGTGGCTGCAATTATGCCAGGGTATTCATTAGCTCAAAGCAAACAGACTATTACTGGCTCCCCTACTAACTACAGGCTTCTGTCCTTGAGTAGATTGCCCCTCTGTCCACACCACATCCCCATGCAATTTACATCAGTGTGCAAAACAGTGTCAGTTACACTGATGTAAATTTGTTGTGGGCCCATGCCTCTGAAACATAGTCCCTCTGACAGTTGAGGACTCTCATCTTTTCTGTGCAGTAACTCCTGATGCTTACCAGCCCCCTGGCTTTAAGGAAGGCAGGAGCCCAGATAACCTGCTGTTTGATGGTGATCCTGTCAACCTGAAAGTAGGATCTGTCTCCACTGGCTTTCATATCCTAAAAGTGAGGGTAACAACTGAGAATAAGAGGATGAGGGCATTGGGAAGCAACCTGGTCCAGGAGAATGGCCCAACTGAGATTTCCCATCAAGGGCTAGATTATGATGAAGAGGAAGAAGGTAATAGAAAGGTAAGGAAATGACGTGAGTCACTTTGCTGCACTCTCACTGTGGGGAATAGGGTATTTCTTCATCTTCTTACTCTTCAAGGAGACATTTTGCTAGAATACCAGTCTTAACATGGTCTAAATGAATGTTTCATTTAGTGATATGGCAGAGGTGCTGTTGGTTCCTAAGCAAGGGATTAGAAGTCAGTGGTGTGCGGGCCGGACACAAGCCGGGCCCTTTTTTGTGCTCTGCGCGGGCTGTGGCCAGCAGCCCGGGCACGCGGGGTCGGAGAGGGCGCGCATCAAGCTAGAATTAGGCACAGACTCGTAGCAGTAGATTTAAAGATTGTTTACTTACACCGGAGATGGTTGCGGTGCAGGCTGGAAAACTTGCTTGAGTTGCGGTTACAGACAGACACGACACGAATGACCACGTGGAGTTTGCTAGGCTCCACAGAAACAGAGCTCCGGATGGCCTGGACAAGCATGCCACCGAAATAGGAACTCGTAAATACGTCTTATAAAATTTATCGCTCGAAGACGGGAAGAGGTGGGCGATGGATCAGGTCGCCAAACTCCTCTGAATCTCACACAGGGTCTCTATTCCCCTGCCGTGTACCCAGAGTCCCCACAAGATGGATGTGGGATCCTCTTCGGCTTGGGCGGAAACCGCTCAAGCCTCTTATACTGCTAACAGGCCAATCGTTAGCCGCCACGTGGAAATAATTTAGAACTAGCCAATAACGGGGAACAAATTTGCATGCGGGTGGGGGGAAATCCTTTGCACCGTGCATTTCTCTTGCAACTTGAGCAATGCACTCTGCAAAGGAAGCCACAAATTGGCGGGAAACTCTTCCTTGCACCGGGGTTCTCCTCTGCAGCAGAAAACTCCACCGTGCAACGAAGCTGTAATTTGGCGGGGATAATTCTAGTGCCGAAGCACACACAAAATCATACCTTTGGGTTATGACAAGTGGACCTAAAGTCATATTCCTAGATCTGCAACTGATTTAATGAATCATCTTGGGCAGTATGTCCCCTCTGTATCTCAGTTTACCCAGCTGTGCAGCGGGACTAGTGACGCTGATGCTTTTTTGTAAAAAAGAGTCAAGGTGTCTTGGGGGAAAGCTCTCTGCAGGTGGAGATGGTGGCATTGTTGTTATGTCTTGTGCTTAGCAGTGATGCTTTGGACACGGAGTAATTAGTCATTTTTATAGCAGAACTGAGTGTCTTGACAAGGGGAGATTTATTGGAATAGTTGCAGCAGAATGTTTTTTCCCTTTAGTAGCTATGCCAGGAAGTTTTCCAGCAACTAAGACAAGAGAGCACAAGTGGGAAAAATAATAATCTTTTCAAAACAATGCTATCCTATCCATACCAACTCTGGCATGTGGGGCAGCAACCAAAATGGTAGCCTGGTTCAGTATCTGCAACCAGTGGAGGAAGAGAAGTGGTTATCCAGATTGTTTTAAACTAGTTAGCTGTGGTACCAGCCATGGTCTAGCTACAGCAACTTGGAACATGATACAGGTGCAAGGCCTGTCTGAGCAGCTGAATAAGAACTCAGGCAGTTAGGCCATGGGGAGCTCCAGGCTTCTGTTTCTAGATTGCAACTGATTCCTGAGCTCTCTGTTTTAAGCTAGTTCAGATATGTATCCATTCTGCACTGTGTCACACACACACACACACACACACACACACACTTAAAAAACAGAGGAATGTCCAGATTGTGATGCATTTCCATTGCATGGCATTGTTTAGCAGGATGACCAAAGATATGGAGCCATGTTGGTAAGCATTTTCTAAAGTGTCTCAGCACATTCTATGCCAATCTCTAGAAGTCTGGTTGTAAGTATGGTGGCAGGAACTGCTGGGAGCTGAGGAGTTAGTTAACCCAGTTGCTGGTGATATAGCAGTTGAATGTCTGGTCAATAGTGCCTGTAGCAGGATGGGCCCTGGGGCAGCCGTGGAACCCCCTAGGGCCACCTTAATCCTGCCCTCACTCCCAGTCCTCTATATAAACCCCCCAGTTTATCTTTCCTGCCATGCCTTGATGTTTCTTTGTTATTAATTGAGAGGCTGCCCCTGAGTCCTGGAGTGGTCTCACTGTCCTTTATTGATCTAACTGGCCCCTTAGGGTCTCCGGGTCCTTGACTCTCTAACTCCATACTACTCTGTTCTCCATGGGTGTCTCTCTTCACCCTGGCAGACATACTAGTGCCTAGTTGGCACTGTGAGCTAGTGGTCACCACCTATGGCCCACATGGCCCCTATTTAAGACTTAGGGCTCTTCATTGTGGCCTCTTGATGCCCCCATAGCCATACCCATGCCTCACAGATGTCACTCAGTCACTGTTTGCCTTCCTATATAGGCTTCGGCCTTTATAGCCCTAGCCTAGAGGTTACTCTGCCTGTTGACTGGTGGCCTATGACCCCTGGCTATGGCCTGACCTTTCCAGTCTCAGCGTCTTGTCAGCCCCTGACTGCCCCTGTTGCCCCCTCTGGGCTCAGGCTCGAGCCCTCTCAGCCTCAGGCTGCCTGCACCTTGTGCCCCTGCCAGGGCTCAAATCTAGCATGCTCATCAGGCACCCCAGTGGCCCCCTTTCCATCCCTTACAGCCACAACCAGTCCTCCAGTATAACCCTAAAAAAAAATTCAAGCAACTTTAAACTAAATGTGCCCCCTCTGGGTCATTGTACCACTGCCAGACTTTCTACCCAGTCTGTGGCTCCCTTTGCCCTGGGAGTACCTGCCATGGCCTGCAGCTCCCATTTCTCACCAGCCTTAACTGGCAGGAGCTCCCCTCTGCAGAGTATAGGGCCATATTGCCCACCTCTGCCTTGGGGCCCTAGGCTTATACCCCTGGCTCCTCCCCTTTTGGTCAGATGCACTTCTGACCAGCCACAGGTGTGTCCCCTCATCTTAATGAGCAGCTTATTGTGCCCAGGCTGCGTGGAGAAATCACCCCCCAGTCTGTCTGTGCTGTAATGCAGCAGCCTAAACCCTCCCTCCCTGGTTACAAACTCTGGCTGCTGGATTCACCTGGTCTCCTAGGTAACAGGGTGGTACATTCCATGGGGAGCGGGGAGCGCTCTCTTTCCTTGTTCAAGAGTTCCCACCACTGTAGGTCATGTGACTGGTCCTCTCACCTGGAAAGGTGATGTCAATTGGAAGCACCAGTCAACAGCCAATGGGTCTGCTTCTGATGGGAGCTGGGTGATGAGGTCACAACAGTGGTGTAAAACAGCCCCTCCATGAGGAAGTAGGGGGAGAAATGTTGGGACATGTGCACAGAAATTTGGACCTTTGCAGCTCTCTTTCTCTCTCAGGATGCAGAAGAGAGTAAATTACCAGAAATGTAACTAGAAATGTAGTTCACAGTAATCTAGAAGGGGATCCAATGGCTATCAGGCTGGTTTTGTTTGCTCAGGGTTATTCTGTTGCTATATCTCTGGCCACTCCATGCCTACCCTCTCTACCCAATTAAGCTATCCACTATAACAAGCTTTGTGGTACATGCTTGAGAGGGATCGGGCATGCCTTTGTGCTCCCATTGCTTGGCTGACTAAGGGAGGCTTTTTCTTGGCTTCAGATTAAAGGAAGCACCCCAAGATTTCACAGTGGGTCAAGCACCCTACAAGGCCTGTGTACCTCGGGTGGCACAGAGCTGAGACAAAGACCAGACCCCAGGTGGTGACAGCAGTTACTCCAGGCTTATGGGTGTGCTCCAGGAAGGGGGTTGGTCAGAAGTTGGTGCCCCTGGGGAGGCATCCGAAGCCTGGTTTTTGGCTCCTTTGCTGCCTTCCCTCCTACAGCTAACCCTTCTTTAACTGCCTGGGGCTCTTTCTGCTGCAGTCTCTCTCTCAAAGTAACAAGAGCCCCTGACTCCCTGTTACAGGACCCAACAGTCGAAGATGGGAAAGTGGGGTTGGGAAAGGACTGAAAGTATCTGAGTTCAGGCTGAATATACTTCAGTGCAAGAAGATCTTCTGCACAGGATTTTACTGTGGGATTTCTGTCAGCCTATTAAGAGACTGCATCATTTGCTTTTCAGAACAACCCTTTGCCTGTCAGGGTACAGTCAAGTAAACATGGGAAGAGCATAAGTGACACAAATTCAGGCTGGCAAACTGAAGTGTTTAGTCTTCACTCTGAAAACACAGGTAAAGATCTTGCTTTAAAAAGAAATGGCTTCTATGTTCATGTTGAGTGACTGCCTTAATTATACAATGCATGTGTTTTTAAGCTTAACCATGGATCAGCTGAATTTTTCTAGGTTCTTCTGACTTCAGATAAAGTTATATTGGATTCATTAAGGGGATGATAACAATGGGCCTTAAGGTGTGTGTGCGGGGTGGGGTGCAGGGGAGGGTTGTTAAATCAATATTATTCCACTTCATCTCAGGAAATTTGTCTAATATACAGAAAATAGGTGTTTCTTCAATACTGAACCATGTTATTTCTGTTTCTAATGATCCTGTTGTCCTTTGGATGTTGGAAAAGCAGCCTTTACAAATGCATGTTATATGTTCAAGCTATACAAATGTAAAATAGTCACCTGTTTATCCCTTTCAAAAAGCTAGTTTCTGATACTGCAAGGTTACCCATAACTTTTCAGGCCTGTGAAATGGCACCGGTTAGTGACAGTTCAGTTAATAACATCCTAATTGCTTATAAAAAATGGAGTTTGACTCTAAACTTTACAGATATATGTATATGTAAGCAATGAGTTGCACATTTAGATGAGTCTCTACCTTGATGTCTTTGTTTCTAGAAATAGCACTAAAACTGGAGTTGTATCTGAAACTGACACAGGCTCAATGCCAGCATGAAATTTAGCTCTGTCCAGTGCTACCATGCTTCTAGATATTGTCTTAGTGAAATGGTACCCTACACTTGAAGGTATATATTACTGACATTACAATGTTTACATTTCAGTTAAAAAAGACAACGTAAAAGTGATGGAGGCAGGCAGAGTGTCCACTAGTAAGGCATCTCATCAGGTGAGCATCATTTTGATTAGCTTCTGTTCAGCTTTAGCAGACTTCCAAAGAGCTGGAATCCATTGCCATCTGATTGTATTTTTGCCAAGAGCTTAGAAGGATTAAAAAAGGCTTAAATATAAATAATAGAATGCACACAGTTATGTTAGGATGGTAACATGTAGAAGATTAAAACTCTTGTGGCAAGGGTCCCTGATAGATTGGGTTTAGGAAGAAACTTCTGCTTTACCAGGCTACTCCATAACTCCAGTACAAGAGTTTCGCACATTTCTCCAGAGCTTCCAATACCAGCAGTTCTAAAAAAAGGATGCTATTGTATCATTGGCCTCATTTGGCTTCAGTCTGTCTGTGCATTGAGAGCAGTGATGACTATGGGTACCACCACATCTCGTGTTTGGTGATTACTTGAATCTGCTGTTCAAAACTGCCCTCCTACCTCTTGCTGGGTTTTTGGTTGTAGCCATGTTGGTCTAAGGACATAGACAGGCAAGGTTCTTTGAGCAGATGTGATATCTTTTATTAGACCAAGTGAGTAGTTGGAAAAAAATTCTTGTCAAGCGTGAAAGCTTGCCAAGAAATTTTTCCAACTACTCATTTGGTCTAATAAAAGATATCTCTCCTACCTCTTATGTACTTGCCAGTTGCCCTGTCTGAAGTTAATGGACTGTAGGTACAACCACCCCTTGTAGTAAGAAATCTACCCAATCACTATTGAAAACTTCTACTCAAAACCCATGTATTTAAATCTTGATTAGGAGTCAGGCTCTGGTCCATATAGCCTAGAATTTGAGTGAGCAGATCACATTTCATACTTGGGGACCAGTCTAAGTTGTAAAGTTTGAACTTAGAGTGAAGTAAGGAAATTTCTTCTGCCAGGATATTTCCAATTTTTGTTATAAAGAACCACGGGAAGTCTAATTTTCATCCACCCAGCAAGTGGAGACCTCAGCTTAATGTCCCATTCAAAGAGTATCACCTCTGTCCAGTTCCATAGTATTGACTGCAGTGTCAGCCAGTTGAGTTGGAGCTCAAATCCACCTCTCTGTTGCTCAGAGGCAGCAACAACTACCAAGGGCACGTTTCCCTTTTGCAGTTAAACTGCCTTTCAAGTGTTTGCCATCAGTTTAGTTCTGAGAAATGAACCTCTGCGCCTAGGCTGATAGTTTTCAAACTTTAACCACATTTCTCTCAAACATATCCTCATTTCCTTTGATTGCTGTTGAGGCTGCCATCTGTGTAAAAACAGGAGACTTCTTGTCACTCATTTTTCCTACTGAATCATGTTCTGACATTCTTTGTGAGATATGACAATTGTAATCATAAGCTCAGACACCCATCTCGGGGAACTTGTGAACTGTAGTTTGCCTATGATAAGGGCAGTGACAATTTCTGAAAGTTGTGCTAGAAAATATGGCATTGTTTATTGACAAATGGAGGAGTCATTCTGTCCATTGAACACTTCACCTTTACATGTAAGAGGTTTGGCAACATGTGTTGTTTTTTTTTTACTTGATTGCCTCTTCAATACAGTATTCTTTGAAAAACCCATCATAGAAAATTAGAAAATGACTAATTACTGTATTTAGGTACTTTTAGAGAAACATTAAATCAGGTCAGTAGTCAAAAGAAGCAGATCCATGTGATAAATTTGATAATTTGATTTCCGCATGATTTTTCCATACAAGAGGGACTTTTCCTTCCTGATAAATGAGGGGGGAAGTAGGCAAACTAAGTGACTAGTATACATTCCACTTAAATCAGGAAGCCAGAGCATTCAGTGAAGTTTGTCTTTAAATATTAAGGCAAACTGCTCTACACAGGCAGAGCTTCAACAGAGCTATATAACTTACCTGAGCTGAGGACCTGGTTCACAGTACTAGATTTTGATTTACTACTCTCATCTCTGATCCTTTTCTAACAGGTATCAGCCTTTCAGTGAGATAAAATATGAGAATTCTAGCTAGTGTTTTCATGTATAGAAACTTGCTAATGCAGTGAAAGTCTGCAGCTGGATTCAGGTCGTTTTTTGAGGATTTTGGTAGACCTCTCTCTCCCCTTGTATTTCTCTGACATTTTTTGCACAAAACGTAACCAATATCTTCAAGTAGGGAGATCAGGCTATTACAATGGAAATATCTGTATATGAGATATTATAGGGGTCAGCAACCCCTGGCATGTGTGCCGAGAATGACATGCAAGGCCATTTTGCTCAGCACACCACCGCCAGCTCGGGCTCTAAGCAGCTGCTGCCAGCCATGGAGCCCAGGCTGCTCCCAGCAGGCAACTGGGAGGCTGCAAGCCCTGCTGCAAGCAGATCGGGCTCCATGGGCCGGCTGCAAACAGCTGCTCCAGGCTCCAACATGTTGGCACTCCAGCCAAAAAATGTTGCCTACCCCTGAGATATTAGAAGTTTAACATCTAATCTTTTTTGAACAATAGGTCAGAAAGCTTCAGGCTCTGTTTGATTTTGTTTGTGTCTTTTGTGGAGATTAAAGATTCCATTTTGAAGAGCAGGATGGCACCTTAGAGACTAATTTGTTCAGAGCGGTATAAGCTTTCCTAGGTGACAGCCTACTTCATCAGATTTTGTGAATGATCTTGCAAATAGCAAAGGTAGTACACAGAAAGGAATAAAGTAATTTAAATATAAAGGATAGGGAAAGGAGGAGGAAAGGCTAGGGGAGGGGGCAGTGCTAAGAGAAGTGAGATGGGTTGAAGAGATCAAAAGGTATGAACAAAGAAATTAACCCACTGAGGGACACAGAGGTATAAACACTAGTCTAGGTAATGGGTTAAGAATCCAGAGTCTCTGCTGGGAATGTACTCTAGTTCTGCAGAATGCTTTGCACTCTCAACTTGCACTGACATCAATAATTGTTGAGAGTCTCAGGAGCTTTGAAGAGGCACGCAGCACCTGGAAAGGTCTGGCTCAGTAGCTGGAGTACTGGACTGGGACTTGCAAAAATTCTGTTCCTAGGCAAGTAGCTTTCATTCCCTGTACCACTGTTTCTTGTTCCATCTTATCTTGCCATGCCTTGTAAATTTTTTAAGGCAAAGACTGTCTCTTAATATGTGTTTAAAAAGTGTGTTGCCAAGAAGCCCTGATCTTGCTTGGCTCATTTTAAGACCATAGTAATGGTACAATAGGCTGTAGGGAGTATTACTTAGGATAGGTCAGAGGTCACCCCACCAAATGGACACCTGTGTCTTGGGCTGATTGGTCATTGGAAAATGAGTAGAACATGGCTATATGAATCTGCTCGTGCTTTTATCTCATACTGCAGTCTGGGATTTGAGATCTTGGAGCAGTTCTTAGTGACCTTCAGAATTCAAACAAACACAAATAAGACCCTTTTAAAGGTTATAGACATAATAATTGTACTGATGTCAAACAATAGCAATATAAACTACTTCAACAAACTGATACATCTGTAGTCTTCTATAGCAATGCAAAGGCAGCACAACAGTTGCCACTTTAACCTTATTTCATTTAGGATTAAAATTTTACCAATTGAGCTAACTTATATTGCTATGGATCATGCAGATGTGGCAGTTAGATCAAGACAGCCAGTATGCTTTCCCAGCTAGCTTCTCCCTCTCTCCTTTGATTGCAATTAAAAGGTATGATTGTCCATACCCCAAAATAATTATCTCATCCTGTCTTGAAGAGACCTTATTGTTTTCTGTGGAAAAGAGGTTTTTTTAGTTTTTTTGCATGCAGGCCTCTGATTACAGCTAAAAGGAGAGTAGTGAACCAAATACAATTGGAGGAAACCAAAATAGTCTAATTTAAACTTTGTGCTGTGGAGGTTTGGTTTTGTTTTAAAGTAAAAAAATATTTTAATTTGGCTTCTTTCTGACTAGCTAAGAGAATGGATGCCGGTGACAGTGCAGACTTTCACAGCCGGTGCCCCATGAGATCATCAGTGTCCATATAACAGAGTGAGAGCACCCATATTAACAACTAGGGCCCTGGGAACAAAACTATCCTGGGGCCATGCCAAGCTTCTTTGGTGTATGAGTGGCCATAGCTAAATATAAGGATAAACCCAAGCAGCCCAAATGGAAAGATTAGGGCCTAAGTATCATCACCCCCAGTGCTTGTGATCCATGCTTCCAAGAAAAAGTAATGTTTAAAGTCAGCAGGACAGAAAGCATCTGAAGGGAGAAAATCTCCCACTACAGCATCTCAGCTGAGCAACAGAAAAATATTTTGCCATGCTTTGGTCATTATCTTCAACATTTGCAACCCCCCCCCCCCCCCCTCTTATCTTTAGTCATCTATCAACAAACACAGCACTGTATCTGATGAGAACTTCCTAGAACATCTCTCCTCCAGTACAGCTGGAGCTACAGAAACCTAAACAATGCACACGAATTCAAAGCTAAGCTTGCTTCTTTCTTCCTGTTAGCTCTTCCCATTCTGAGTAGGCATGAGACAGTGCTGTGAGGTCAGTAAATTCCCGGCTGCCTTTGATTCACGTCAGACCCTAGCTGTATCTCGGGATGGGGCCATTCATTCTTGGCATGAGTTATTCCTGTCTGGGGCACAGGAAACAGAATTTTCCACATTGGGAGGTCTGGTTTGTCACCCAGTGGATCTTCTGTGGTTTAGCCCTAACGCCTGCAGAGCTCCTGACATCTGCCAGAGGGTCCTGGACATAGAAGCCCAGAATTTCTGCACTGGCCACCAGCTCCCACAAAAGCAGTGTCCCTCATAGGATGTTTATTGTTCATGTGGTAGCCGCTTACTCCCAGACCCCCTCTGGAATAATTACCAAAAGCTAAGAATAACTGATTCAGTTGTAATTTTGCTATTCCCTATAGGGCTGGCTATAGTTGCAATGAGAAATGTCTGCCAATCCATGACACCCCTAACAGCATGTGGAGCCTTATGTACCACAATGAGATTCCTCCAGATGAAAGGGAAAGGTGGGCCCTGATCCTGCAGCCAGATGTGCTAATGCAGTGTCTTTTGCCCTTGATGTGCCCCCAGGGGT